CGTCGAATTCGCACTTTGTAATGACAGCATCATTCCGGCCCGGAGTGCAACATCTGGACGCAATTCTACCCTAAACCCTAAACCCCTAAACCCCAAAACCCCTAAACCCCTAAACCCCCTAAACCCTCAACTTATGGGTTGCCTGGTCTACGAAGATGCCCGGCGCGCCGGGCTCGAAGCTGGAAGTCCTTGTGCAGGTCTCTCCAAAGGGTGGTTCCCTAAATGAGGGTCCCCTTTTGGGGGTCCTTTCTATGAAGGGATCTATAAGGGTCCCTTTTGGGGTCTTTTCTATGAAGGGATCTATACAGGTTTAGGGTTTNNTAGGGTATCAGGCCTTGATTTAGAGAGCTACCCAGGCCCATATCATGCGCCGTGGCTCTCTGCAGCCCAAGTGTGTACTAGGTTCTCTAGACGGTCCGTGTGGATTCGTGCTGTGGCAAAATGCACTTCGGCGGGCCATGGTTTGACGGGGAGCTGGGCTGGCACGATGGCGAAGGGGGCGAAATGCAACCCAGCGAGATCTTCCAAAAGGCATGGTGGCTAAACTACTGCATCTGCTGCGGTAGCGGATGCTCGGCAACAAGCAGTCAATCAAGTCAGTGCCATAGGCCTGTGCATCCTGAATGCTAAACGCCATTTATCGAAAACCCTAAGACCCAGCAGAAGATTCTGCGGAAAACCTAAGCCTTAGAACCTCCCCTCGGCCCCCCTCAAAAAAATGCAACAATCTACAACCTGGCAAGCAAGGATTTGAGCGATGCGACAAGCCGGTTTGTGGCCATTCCTGCTTCACGTGCTGCCTGAAGTGCCTCAGATGATGCGAAGCTGGCCTCTTCTTGAAGACTTACAGAGCTTGGTTTTGTAGGTAGTATTATTAGGGGTANNGGGTACCCCTTAAAGGGTACCCCTTCGGAACCCTACTTTTGGCTCTCTTAAAGGGAACCTTATTGAGAGGGTCTATATCCCCAAGGGTCCCCCTAGTCCTAGCACCCATTTTGGTCACCGGAAAAGGAAATAGTAAACAGCATGTTTTTGTGTCTCTGGATCAGCCCCGCAGACAGAGGCCGGTACAGGTTCTCCATGACCCTCCCAAGGTAATGCAGGAGCCTAAATAATATCGTAAAATATACCCCAACAGCCTCTTCTAATTCTCAAGGCCCTGTCTTGAACCCTTATAGAACCACATTTAGGAGCCTTTTCAAAGGAACCCTATTCAAATTATTAAGGCCCTATATTAGCATTGACGGCAGGGCCGCGATATTCAGCTTGCTTGAGGCCCATTCTCTCGAGATTCCTCCGTTCTAATCAGGGGTTTAGGGTTTAGGGTTTAGGGTTTAGGCTTTCGGGTTTAGAGTTTAGGGGTTTAGGGGTTTAGGGGTTCAGAGTTTAGGGGTTTAGACGTTTAGGGTTTAGGGCTTAGGGTTTCGGGGTACTTTGTTCTCCCGCCCACTGTGTCCTGTGCATGCGCCTGGTATGTGCGCCCTGTTTCGAGTAGCCAAGGTGCGTGTGCGAAAGCACTTGGCCGATAAACCCGGCATGCAACCAGACTCTGGCATGCTGCTGCTGCCGGCAGATATGCATGATCCAACCGAGAGACATGCCCCTGTGCATCGTTTGCGGCAGCTGTGCAGCAAAGCTAGAGGCTGCGAGTTAATTCGCTTCCACGTAGTATTCGGGTTGGGTGCAGTATACTTTAACCAAAAGGGGTTATACTAATAGTCATGTATTTCAGCCCCCTGATAGAGTACATGGGGGTCAGGTGCAAGCTGCAAGGGCTGACTTCACTCTTCGCCCGTCTCTCTCTCTCTCTCTGCATGTCACCGTTTTCCTCGACCTCTTCTGATTCGCCCTCCCTGGCTTCACGGGTTCAGGGTTGAGGGTCTGAAAGTCTAGGGTTTCACCGTTTAGGGATGAGGGAGTGAAGGGGCCCTCTTTCCGGTGTGATGTTGCCGTGGTCGTCGCCCGTGTTGACGGGCTAAGCTTCGGTAGCTACGGCTCAGCATCAGGAGCACTACTTTACGCTAGCAGCAGGTGGATGGCCATGAGGAGAAGAATCACAGACATTCGGAAAGGTACTAGTTACTAGTTGTAGTGCCTGTAAGGGTGGTCGTGGTGTTGGTAGTGGCGGTGACAGTTGTTAGTCGCTGTCGCCGCCGTGTCGTCGTCGGCTCAGTAGCAGAAGCAGGAGCAGTGGCAGCCGCAGGAGTCTGTAGCTGTAGTGGTCGTCGTCGTGGTGTAGTGGCAGTGGTATTGGAAGTAGTGGTTTAGAACCAGGGTTGTGGTGGAAGCAGCGGCAGCAGAAGCGGCGGCAGCAGCGTGAGCAGCAGCAGCTGCAGGAGCAGAGCAGGAGGAGGAGGAGGAGGAGGAGCAGGAGCAGCAGCAGCAGCAGGAGGAGCGGCGCAGCAGCAGCAGCAGTAGCAGGAGCAGTAGCACTAGTTAGCAGCAGCAGCAGCAGCAGTAGCAGTGGCAGTGGCAGTGGTGGTGGTGGTGGTGGCAGTGGGTGGCAGTGGTGGTGGTGGTAATGCTTGTGCTCTTGGTGGTTGTGGTGGTTATTATAGTGGTTGTGGTGGTTGTGGTCGTTGCGGTTGTTTTGGTTGTTGTCCTTATTGTCGTTGTCGTCATTGTCAGCGTCTGTGGCGGTGGCGGCGGCGGTGGCGGTGGCGGTGGAGGTGGTGGTGTGTTGTGTTGGTGTTGGTGGTGTTGTTGCTGCTGCAGTAGTAGTCGTCGCTGTGGTCGTCGTTGTCGTTGTTGCTGCCGTAAGAGCAGCGGTGGCTGTAGAACTGTTAGACGTTGAGCACAATCAATACCACTTGCAAGAATACGACCAGCAGGAAACGCAGGGTCAGAGACTGCGCTTGCTCTTGCCTTTGTAACATGCACGTTATTCTATCTTCGTTATTCAGATGTATCCTTTGCCGAATTAGCCGGTGTCCTTTTGCGCAGGGCCAGGACAATCGGGAGTTTTCAACCCATGCACTTTCTGGTCGTATCGTGCCATTTGATATTCATGCTGGGAAATCTGTTGCTGTTGCAGTGCTTAAGCCAAGCATGCTAAATCCAAATCACAGACTTCATGTCGCAGTTTGAAGATGTCAGAAACAGCCTTCATTCTCGGGTGCCTATTTTCTGATGCAGGCAAAGGTTCATGCGGCCAATCGAATTAGAAGTAAGATAGAAGCCCAAATAATTGCCG